GGGGTTGGGGGGGGGGGGGGGGGGGGGGGGGAGGGGGAGAGCACCCTGTATGTTTACCCAACCGGGAGTAAGGATGCTCACTAGCCTCCGGCTGACAGATAAAGGAAAGCGAGATCGGAGTTGCTCCTGAACCGGTCTCGATGGAAAAAAAAGAAAGACAAGAAAGCAAGATTTTCCCGCGTGAAACGACCAGGTAGCTCCCGTTTCCAGCTTTCTCGCACCTGCCTACGATCGCACGTGCCACGATGAGATCATAGGCAGGTGCTGACTGCTCTCCAGCCCTCAGCCCTTGGAGGGACACCTCCTTCCCTCGGGCTGAAACGATTCCTTCGTCTTAAAAGTAGAGCTGGGAAACGAGAGGCACGAGAACGATCGAATTTTCTTTTTAAAAAAAATTGCCTTGCCTGGAAAGAGCTTTAACCCATCCTACTTTTTCTTATGGGTTTCCCGAACCACTAAAAGTACTCATACGTAGTTTTTTAAAAGTTCGTGGAGATTCCAGACCCGCACGAAATAAATAGAGCTTTTTTGCCTTTCGTAGGATCCTACCTGATGAAAATCTTCTGGATTAACATCATCGTGTCTTTACTAGCGTTTCGCCTGCAAGCATGCATTTTTTTTTTTCATCTTCGACAGAAGACCTCCCACAATACTTTAAATTACCGTGCTGGACACCGGATCGAGACGAGGTATCCGACAGCGTTTTGGGCTTTGCACGGCTTCCGAAAATCTTTTCAACTCGTAAATGAGTTCAATTATTTTCCTTAATCCTTGCCCCTTCCTATTTAATGCGGTCGGTGAAGTAAAGTGAAAAGGGTAAAAACGAGTTTTGAACTGGTTTTAGAGGTTTTTCCACGTAGGTAGTGAAGGAATTGGTGCCCGAGGCAAGGCACTCGTTCTCAACTGCAGGAACGCGTTAATCCAGGTCTTCAATGAATCGCACAACATGGGGAATATAGGAAAATATCTGTTTATTTCAGCTGAGAATCCCCAAAAATTGGTAGGCCTTCGTGACGGTAACTCCCATCTCAAGGACACGAACTGCCTCGGGATGATGTTGCTCTCTCGAGCTGGTGTGACTCTCTTGGGTGGATGAAGCCCGCTTAGGTGGATGAAGCCCTCTTAGGTGTATGAAGCCCTCTCGGGTCTTCCAATCGGGAGACCGTGAAAGCAATATGCTCGCGGTTGCGGTCGCGGTTTTGGCGGGTTTGGGTGATCCCGACCAAATGAATCAGCTGTCTGACATAAATTGTTGTTGGTGTGAAATAGAACGAATTCGATTCGTGTTTCTGCTATGGATTCGGCCATCACCGACCAGAAAAGTAAACATGATTTTTCTCAAATTCTCTTCGGCGTGACGTATCGAACACCCTGTATATACGAAATACATTCGAAGTACTATGTCACCGGAGAGCGTTCCTTTATCGAGATACTTTTCAGGATTTAGGTTTGTTTTTTTCTCTCAGATTATATGCGGCGTTAGAATTTATCGAAATATTGGATCGGCTCGAGCACAAGTCCGAAGGGTTCGCTCCGAGATCCGAGGGACGTTACGCGAAGAGGCTAAATATCCGATGGGATCATTCCATCGGATCCGTTTCCAGTCTATAAACGATATCGAGTGGACCGACGGTTTAGCTAAGCAAGTTTCACTTTCTGTCGAAATTCTTAGGCATGCTACAATATCCACGCGTTTCCTGTCTCGTTCCTCCGGCGCTGGCACAGGGGGTGAAAAACCATTCTCGATGGTCTGCCTGTGCATTAAGTCTCTTGGAATCCCATGAACCTTTTCGTCCTCAGCCCGGCTTTAGGTCGTGACCAGTCGAGTCATCCCGAGACCTTCGGACCTCGTGTTCGATCTCCTCAGGATCGACGCGGGCGAAGTCGGTAGTGTCATTCCAAGCCCGAGTACGGCACCCTCGAGCATCGTCTGGCAGGAAAATGCTGGCACTTCGCGATCGACACGACTTCCCGGAACGTCATCCGGCTCTCTAAAATCTAATATCGTCACTCTCGACCGTCAGGTGTCGAAATGTTCCTCTCGTGACCGCGGACTCGTCTGTCTCGTGCGACTCCTCTACGAATCGGTGTCGTGCCCCATGCCAGGAAGATCTTAAGCCTCAAGGTTAAAAGGTTTGTGCCGTCGAGAAGCGATCCTGCTCGTGCCGATATGTTCCGAGACGAAGTCGAGTACTCGTCAAAACCGACTCCTCCCCCTACCTCTCCAAAGATAGTGTTTTCGGTGGGAACATATCAATCTACTGTCTAGCTACTGACAGGTATATTGAGCTCCTTTCTTTGTTTTACCCATATAAGGCATCGGATCTCTCGAGGAAATCATCCAGAGAAGAGCCAGGGGCTACACGGTCACCTGACGCGTTCTATCCGGTATAACAAAAAACAGGTGGCCACATTTGGTCGGTAGGCCAGTGGCCGATTTTTTCCTCATAACCATCGGCCGGTGCCGGTGTCAATGATGGCCTGTGGAAGAAATTACCTATAAATTCAAGTGGGTATAATTAGAAGCAATGTGATACTTATCACCTTATATCACCTTATCAGCCTTATTGAAACGATAGAGACCACTTTTGGTCCTGTTCAGCCTGTCGTGTCTCTATGAGGCTGTCAGTGGTTAGATTGTTATCCATTGCTGCAATTGAGAACATTAAGTGACACTTCCCTTGCAAAAGCATAACGTAAGTGGAGATGCAATGACTTCCCCTTCTTTACTGCTCCTTTCCTCTGCCAGTTCTTTAATCCGGCTGTAATATCAGGTCCCCAAAAAAGTATTTTCGTTTTTTTGAGTTGAATTTAGACCAAACACAACAACTTTGTTAGTACATTTTATTCGGTAAAGTAATTGGCATTACAACCTACAACTTTTTCCCAACGGGAAACAATATTGTAAATGTCGCGTCGGAAGAAATCTCGGTCTTTGGAAGCGAAAAAAGACTTTAATTCCTTTTCAAGGTCCCCTTGTGTTTTAAATTGCCGGTTCCGCATGTGGTTGTCCAGCGAGAGGAAAAGGTGGTAGTCGAAAGGGGAAATGTCAGGCGAATGTGTCAGAATCTCCCAACCAAGGGTGCTGAGTTATTCTCGCGTCGCTTTTGCCGTATGAGGGCGCGCGTTGTCTTGGAAGAACACAACACCTTTCCGATCGACCAACGACGGATGCTTTTCGAGCAGCTTGTCTTGAACCTGTTGCATTTGCGTCGAGTAGACGTCCGCGGTGATCGTTTGGCCAGGGTTTAGGAGCTCATAGTGTACGACGTCGGCTGTCCTCCACCATACACGAAGCAAAATCTTCCGTTTACAGGTTTGGCTTTGGCGTGTGTGGCGTACTCTCGTTGGGCGACAGCCATCGGTACGATCGCTTCGTGTTGCTGTACATAATCCATTTTTCATCACACGTTAAAAGTCGGTCCAGAAATGGTTCGCTTTTATGACGTGAAATCAGAATTGAGCAGATCTGAAGTCGGTTGAGTTCGTTCTCTGCAGTCGAATTATGTGGAACCCATTTGCTGAGCTTGAGGACCTTCCCAATGCTATGCAGGTGCAATCTAACAGTTTCCTCGCTAACGCCAAGTGTCTCTGGGAGCTGTTGACAAGTTTGGCTTGGGGTCCGACTCGATCAGTGCTTTCAGCTCATCATCATTAATGATGGATCTCCTTCCAGATCGGGGTTCATCTTCAAGTGTTTCATCGCAGAAGAAAATTTCTTAAACCAATTTTATGCTGTACACTCACTAACCGCGTTCTCTCCAAATGCCTTGCAAATTTTCCGAGCAGCCTGCGTCGCTTTCTTACCGAGTTTGAACTCGTACAACAAAAACGCGCGAATAACTTCTAAAGTGGCCAGCATGGTTTCGCTCGCGTCACACTTCTAAATAGGCTGATTTGTTCATATGCAAGTTGGTAGGCCTATTCATGCTCTTTCAAACGGTGCATAGGCCAAACCAGCGCCGCCTTTGCGTAAACATATAAAACTTGTTCAAAGTGGTAACCTAATAGACACGAAAAAACATTTTTGGTGAATATTGTGACGGATGAGGATGGCATCGAGAGGCTCGACTGAATGTCCGGGGTTCGGTGGTGTAGTGGTAGCACACCTGACCGGCAACCAGGAGGCCCGGGTTCAATTCCCGGCCGTTCCTTGGCTTCTTTCGTCCTCTCATGCCGTCCGTCTCCCGAAGTTCCCCTCCGTAACAATATGATCGATATTTGTGTCTAGAAGAGGCTGGCACGAGTGACCGAAGTGAGACGGGACGTCCTGCGCCTAGCCGCGTAACACCCTCACGTAATTTCTTTTTCGCCTTGTCTGTCCTTAGGGCACCGGCGCCATAGGCCTATGACCGATACCGGTGTTAGCCGATGCATTGGTAGAGCCCTAACAATAAGTCATTCAGTAACTCCCTTTGGGTTCACTCGACTTGAAGAGGTTCCCTCTCGTTCTGGTGTTAACATAGAGTCGAGAAAAAGCCTGAGATTCCCCATCGTTAACAATTTCTGCAGGAAAGATAAGCCGAATGCATCTAAGCGCCGCCCCTATGAAAGACTCCGTTCCTCTCTCATCGTTTGAACTGCCTGCCTACGTACCCTCTCCAGCGCCACCAAATGCTCTATATTTATAGGCCTTTAATATTGAAAGCCAGAGTCTGAATGAGCCCTTCGATGCTGCGATAGGAGGAAAACGCGCGAGCCCTTCTTGCCAATTGAATGCCTGATGAAGCTCAAGATCCTGTTACGTTTAGACCTGGGTCGCCTGTATGAATAGTACTCCAAGAGTTTCAGCTCCTCATCGATGATAACTCCTAAATCTGTCTCCTGTCTCACCCCGGATGGTTCCCCGAATCCTTCTGCGCTAACGCCTATAAAAGATTAATTGTCATTATGGTCGATTGAACAACTTTGCACGTAATCTTGTGGAACTCTAGCCAGTCTTCAACCGACTCGTCCAACACATCCAAGTCCCTCTCAGTTCCTGCCCCTCCCCAAGAAATCTATTTTTTTGTGTCTTCGCTGAATTTGATTATTTTACTCGTGACACCTTGATCTAAGTCATCCATGTGATGGAGAAACTGAAGTGTTTCTAAGCTGGAATCTTGGGGGTCTCTACTCACATTCCCAACTTCACCCAAGTCGAAGAACCAAATAATATTTTTCCAATTCCAATTATAAATGATCTGAGCATAATATTCAAAGCGCAACATCAATTATGGCAATTATGATGAAAAAAGACAGCACAAGTTGTGTGCTGCCAAAATAATATGTTCCTCCATCGTTATCCTTTATTGTTTGAATATGTCTATGCACTGATTGTGACTGAGCACTAGCTGTAATTCGACAGGATGGGCCCAAAAAAAAATTCCGTTATATATATCACTCCACAGCACTGGTCCCCATGAGTTTGCAAAATTGCTGTAGTGCCTCCGTGTAGAACATTCATTTAGCTTTCCAATGATGTCAACTGAATAAAGATTTGTGGCATAACTTACATGCAGTTAGAAAAAAGAGTATAAGAGGTGGCGCTGGTAATACTGGCATACCGCGACGTCTGCTAGTGCAAGGTCAGGTGTCCCCTCCTTAAGGAAGTCTGGACCTCCAGACTTAGTGCACAATTGACTGCCGGGCCTTTCGGATACTTGGGTGGTGAGTACATGGGAGTAGACACAAGTGTCCTCTTTGGGACCAATGGGGGCCTCCCCCTCAACTCCACCATGCCTCTTCACAAATCCACCCTCACTACTCGTGCCACGGTCAGTCAGCTTCCAATGGTTCCTTTACTTCTGACACCAATGTCATGTCAATGGCCGGAGAATTGGATGGCAGGAGAGGACGAAAGAAAGCCAGGGGACGGCCGGGAATTGAACCCGGGCCTCCTGATTGCCGGTCAGGTGTGCTACCACTACACCACCGAACCCGGGACATTCAATCGTGCCTCTCAATGCCATCCTTATCATTACACAAGATGTCGCCTACCCGCCATAAGTGAAGGAATAGACGTCACCTGGAGCACATCTTATAGGGTACCCGTAGGTGCACTTTTCAAGCACTACTTGTGCCACACTGCGTAACTGCATCGGAATGACGAATTGGATCTGAAATCTTTTCATGTCAATGGAAAGCGAGATAAATATTCTATATAGAGGCGTTATTACAATATTTTCAAACTCTCCAGATACTACGCTGTGAAGCGTTAAAGATAACCGAATATTTTTTTTTTGGCCCACTTTGTAGAATTCCATTACTTTCGTAGGAGTTCAAATTAATATTGTAGGAATCTGCATTATACAGTATGTTGTTGACTTATTCCCATATCCATAAAAGTAAATTTTAAAAGGTCACGTTCATCAGTTTTATTTCCAACTCAGTAATTCCTCCCTCCGAAACACGGTTGGCCACGTTTCCGAATACGAAACCATATACCCCGGTTACAATAGATTGGAATCCGGGGAGGAGTTGCTAAGAAGAGATGATACAGACCGGCTCGATAGAGGAAGCCGAAGAGTGTGGTGGCAGTGCCTGCGAGGCTGATGGAGGCAGCCGTCAACAGGATGCAGATGGTCAACTTCTTTCCGGCCTTCTTCTGCCGTCGATACGCGACCGCCTTCAGGTGTCGACAAAGTAATGTCTTGGGGATCTGGTAGGGGAACTTTTTACCGAATTTTTCTTCCCACTTCCCTTCTTCGTCCTTCTTTGCCAGCATCCACGACAACATCTCGATCCTGTTTCTTTCGATGTGAGGGAAAACCTTCACTTCCTTCGGCGTCGCGGAAGTATTCGTCAGTGTCCAAGGCCGTGAATCGATATTCTCCATGACCCTATACCAGTAGTCGGGAACCTATGGCTCATGAGCCAAGTTTGGTTGACAAGCCGAAAAATATGGCTCGTTATGTAATGACTGAAAATCATGGTTGTTCCTCATTTTTCTCATGTATCAAAGAATGCATGTCTTTTGCCAACTTCAGAAAAATTCCGTTATTCTGAAACTCTTTCGCTAACTAGAGCTTAGCTTAATCTTAGTATGGGTCACATAGCCAAAGAGGCTCCCGACCCCTGGTCTATACCTTCGTGCCCAGTTGCTAAGAGAAACTGTAAGGTAAATAAACGGTGCATAGGAACCCCGTGGGAGTGAAAGAGAACAGAGCTGAAATCAGACACACGAGCTATCCGTATTTGTTGCACTTCTCATCGTCACAGCACGACTATACTTGAGTGAAAAGAAAAAGTTGAAATCCTTCGTTGTTCGAGCAATCGTCCTTGGTGCAGCGAGGTGTGAATGCCGTCATGATCGTGATTTTTGTTGCTTTTAGGTAGATTCGTCGTGAGGGTTAGTTGAAGCAGGAGAGGGTGGGGCTTCACTTCTTGTCTACCTTGTTCGCTGGTGGAAGAGGTTGTTCTGTCTCTTTTTGAGGGACTCCTCCAATTGGACCTTCTTTTTCCTCCATTTCCAGGGCCTTTTGCATGAATTCGTACATCTTCTGTTTCTTCTTCTCCTCTTCCTTCTTCCTTTCCTTTTCCCGTGCACGGAGTCCTAGGGCAAACATGGTCTTCCACGGCAAGAAATCAGTCGACTGTGTTGTATCGCACTCATTTACTCGATGTGTGGGCCGAGCATGTTGTGCTCATAAAATTTCGTCGCCCAAATTTATTATGCATGCAGGTATATGCTCGGACGGTATTCGTGGAGAGGGGCAAGGGCGTGCGCCGATTGGACACGAAAGCACCGTGGGATAAGGACGAGGGTAATCGATGCTTATTTCCCTCGCTTGGAACACCACCCAGACTACTTCCCCAAAGAAGCATCGGATGGGAACTATGCGATCATCGTCAGAGGTTTTATAATCACCTGATGAAGCTACAAGGACTAATTAAAACATGTGCTCCATAAACTTTTTTTTATATTGTACGTAACAAATGGTATGCAATGCTGCAAAATGTGTTGTCCGGCTACGCTACCGACTATAGAGCTTTAAAAGTAGTTTGACTAACTTCTGCAATTTTATTTCAAGGAAGTTAAATTAGACTGCACAATTAATTTTTGCTGCAGTCAAATTGCACAATTAGCTCCTTGGATCGAGGGTTAAACTATAGATATCTCTTTGTAGACGCTACCTGGACTCCAAATGGGAGGGTGTCTCATTTCACTAACCTCCTAATACTTGAACAAGCTGAATGAAAATGACATAACTTCCCGCCATATTTGTCAAGTGATCATTTTAGACTTTTACTTTACTTTTTTCTTGCCTAGATTTTTTCTCATCAAGCCCTACCCTACTTTAAACTTGAAGTTTTTGACTCCCATTGTTTCTGTATTCTATTAAGTGCTGCTAGTTTTTTCTTTTCCTATCAGTTGTGCTTCATGGGCTTAAATCGTAACCCAAAAAATAAACCCTTTTTGAATAAGTACCTCATGATAAAACGTATCGTGTCAAGGGTAAATGTTGGCTATTCATCCTGTAACTGCAATTGCCAAGTTTGATTTTCATAGGCCCCTGGGAAGCGAAGACCTCGACTGAAAGAAACATGACAGGCCTTTCAGGCTGTCTGGATGCTCTAAGTAGAAACCTCAGGCCATCGAATGCATACATACGCATTGAAGCTTGCGCGCTTGACTCCCCTCAGCTCATTTGTATGTTTCCTGCCGCCAGATGTCTCCAACTTAATGCACCCAGCGAATAGCAGTCATACCTTGTCTCCATAAAATGGACGCAATTATGCGAAACTTTGGCTGAGTTGATGCAAGAAACCAATAACCCTTTTTTCGGAAATTGAGATCTATCCGTGCGTGAACTTCTTGCCCTCTCAGGAAGCCTCAGATAAAGTTAATGTGTGGATATCTGTGGCACAGATGCAAGCGATGGTCCTATCCTGAATATATGATTATATTATCATTATGGTTGATTCCATGCACCCCTCTCATGTGTGAGGACTCACCAGAACTTAACAGAGCCGTGAATAGAGCCGGGAAAACTCCGTTAGAACCTCTGGGGTCTGAGATTATCGAACTCGAGACTCATGATTACTCACGTGACTCCAGACGCCATCTTGACTCCACCGCTTTACCTCACACCCCCAGATGAAGTCGGGCGATTGAAACTCCCGATTCTCTTGATGCTATGGATTGGCACCAACCGAAGTGAGAGGTTCTGGAGAAGTTTCAGGAGTTCAAATCAATACCTAAGATAAGCCTAGAATTGGAGATACAAACAGATTGACGATGCGTTCCTGGCTGAATTTCTGAATCCCTTTCCGGTGCAGGCCGTTGAGGAACAAAAGAAATGCAGCGCTTACTTCGAATCTACAGTTATATGGGGAAGCCAATGAACTAGGTGAGGGAGAAATGTGCTCCCAGGGTTTATAGGAAATAGGTACCAAGAACTACGAAAAATGATTCTTTCACAGGCGAAGGTATTCAGGATGGCAATCTCATTTGTTTTCCGAAATATATTTTGACTGTTGTTAGAGGCTGAAAATACATTTAATCACGCTGGGCAGACAATATTGCGAATGTGAGGAAATGCGAAGAAAAGTTGAGTTCAAATTCTCAAATGTCATATTATCGTAATGGAGGTGTTGGACAGATTTTTCGGAGGAGAGCTGAGCTTGCTAAGAGAAAAAGGGAGAACAAAGAAAGACCAAGCTTGATCGAAAGAAAACGCTCTTGAAACCAACGAAATGCTGTCCAAAACATTTCAGACAGCAAAGTTCTAGGACTCAGCCGGAAAAAAAGAAGAAATGTCTATAACAATGACTGCGATGTTAGCAGCGTCCCTTCCCTTTCCATCCTTAGATCAATCCAACTTATTGATTTATTCTTGATTTGTTTTTCAGTAATAATATTGGACAATACATGATTATTATTGTATGAGTACGTTTTTAAGGTTCTCGCTATCTATTGCGAGATATGAACAATTTGTTTCATGTTCACTTTCTAAGCTGCAATTTGTAGGAAGCACTGAAGGGGTGGAGGAATGAATTGCGATTGAAAATATATCGCAGAAATAATGCTCTGAAAGCCTTTTATGGGTTCATCAGCACATGTGCTCTCCTTCAGGGAAAATGGTCGCATGAAGCATGAATAAGGCGATTTTGTGCTGTTAGAAGTCTCATTATCGACTACTACCAAGGCCACCTGCGTTTATATTATAAACCACAAAAGCCTCATTGGAGGAAAAGAATAAGTACTGGTACGCTGGACAGGTTTTGGATGAGCGCGCACGCCTGGAGGGAAAATGCCACTCACGAAGGGAGTTTTCCTAACTCTATTCATGGCTCTGGTTTCAGATGTTCTTTTCTCCCTAGGACTGTTGCATGTGATTTTCATTGTAGCATCATAAAAAGGGACAGCGAGAAAAACTATATGCCTACCTACATCCCGTCCCAGAGAATGCCTTGAGAGTAAAAATCTTCATAGCTCGAAAACATTTGGAGCAGATGATCCGATTGTTATGGGAAGCCATGGAATTGTTTTCACCTCCCACACGCAATCACCTACTCTCTGAGAGTGAATGGACCCGTGCGACGAGCGATGGCAGAAGATGGAAGAGCTTATAAATAAACCCCTGACGCCGATTAAAGGCCGTTTCCACGTCGAAAAATACCGCAAACATGAATTGGATTTCAATTCGTTGACGGCAAGACAAGTATGGAGTTTAAGTCGCAATAACTGGCCGATAGGGCTCTTATTTTTTAAACCTGGCCATAGGCACCGAACCCAGGGGGGCAAAGGGGCACGTGCCCCCCAATTATATTATTGAGGGGGCAACACATGACAAGAATGGCAAAATAAAATAAAAAAGTATAGCGCATGGAAAATTGAAAACAAAATGCTGCTTCACGAAAGAAATAAAAATATTATTTTCCTTTCTGTTTAGAGTTCCAACTGGGGGAGATCCCTGTGTCACCCCGTAAGGGTATGGGGTGGAAGGGCCATGCCCAGCCCCCCTACCCCCCCCCCCCCCCGCTTGTCACTATGCTACCAAGATGATACTGAGCTACCCCAATGGATCCTGGAATATTTGCGTCATTGTCATTTCAGGGGCATTAGGAACTTGCCCCTCCAATATTTTTTAGAAGTCGGCACCTATGAACCTGACTTGAGTTCCAGGCGGGATACCATTCTGGTGGTCGCATTCATTTCATGATCTTTCCAATGTTATTGAGAATATGCAAGAGTCTGTATGACTCTGATACAGTTGCCTTTGACAGACTCGTGTATCATGACCACCGTGATAGAAGCAAATTCTCCGACTTGTAAATTCCCGAATGATGAATTCTCCGGTGATGACAGGCAAATATACAATTCGACGGACGAATACGAACAACAGGTTTTTACAATGGATTTTTTCCCATCAAAATTTCCTGTCTCGCACGTCATGCAGCTAGGAACATCACATAGGCACACCGATGGGGGTGGGGAGGGAAATGCGGCCGCCCCTCAATTGAGATGAGACGAACGATGGGAAGCAAACAGAAGGAAGGGAAAATTTGCTAATCCTTTTAGTCCTAAAAGGGAGGAAACCATTACCTTCCTTATCCCCATCCTCAGGTAACATGCTTCGCCTACAGAAAATCGCTGCCGATACTATGCCAGTCAGGTCACCCTCTGACAAATACTTTCACGGGAAAGGAAAGAAAAATTATCAATAAAAGGAAACATATATAGTTGCAAGATAATCCTCTCAGTCACCAGGGAAGGGATAGTCGACAAGACGTCCATGAAGATATAAAATGGGAGTATATCTGGAAGAGTTAGGTGGTTTAGGAAGCAAATCACGTCTTCGGTCCTTGGTCGGTGTACGAATATGGAGTTCTTGCAGAGTGAAAAGGGAAAGAATCATCTCATTCTTGAGATCTTTGTCTTCACAAAGAGCAAATGAGCAAGGACGGATGGAGGACGCATTGAGAGTGCCTCAACAGAAAAAACTGTAATTACAGAACTACAGTGTCCCATAAATCTAGAACCATTGACAGTGTCTTTTCTTCATATTGCCGATGATCTAAAGTGAAGAAATGGCACTAGGGTGAGATTGCGTAGGTCGTGTACCTAGGGAACCAATAGTCACTGCCAAGTACCCGACGAATCGAACATTTGCATAATATGTATTAATATATTTGTGTGTGGCTATGGTTCCAGACTAATGGGACACCCTGTACAGCAGGAGAGCAAGTCGTGAGCAGGCGAGGGTAACAGCATCATGTCCCAGAACAGTATAAGCCTGCGAGGTGGTTGCGAACATTGTGAATGATGCCAAGAGCACGCAACAGAAGACCGGCTTGTGCAGTAATTGGAGAGGGAATTTTAGAAAAAGCAAGAAAGAGGGGAAGGGTGGGGGGGGGGGGAATTTATTAATGCCCAAGACCGTGCTGTCGCAGATTTTTAACATCAAGGAACTGATCAATTGTGAAATTTTCAATTTGGAGAAATAAGTTTACGGAGAATTGACCTGGAACCCTCCCGGTAAGCCAATCTGCTTGAATCGGATCATGAAGAGATCACTGGCGAGGGGCAATCGGGTGGCTCTTATTCCTCCATCACCTTAAA